AATGGGGGCCAATCGTAGAAGTAAAATGGAATGGGGGCCAATCGTAGAAGTAAAATGGAATGGGGGCCAATCGTAGAAGTAAAATGGAATGGGGGTCGTGGCGTCCCTGCCTCCCATGGATTTCCTCATCCCTCCAGTTTCCTCTCATTGTTTCTCCCTGGGGGCAGGCAGCATAGGGGCCAATCGTAGAAGTAAAGTTAAATCTCCCCTTGCTGTGAACATGGTGCATGAAACCCCCATCTGCCAAGCTAACTTGCCAAGCCAACCTGCCAGCGTATATGGGGTCATGGCCACCTTCAGTACTACCTGAGGGCCAAAAAGGTACCCGCGATAAGACAACAGCCTAGGCGCCAGTCTTGGGCCCAGAGCAGTGGGGCTGTCACGGTTAGGGCATACTGGGAGTTGTGTCTACATCTATGCTGCGAAGTCTCCTCTTTGTGTGAGGGTTGTCTTGAATCAATTTCATCTTCCGTCGCTTGATGTTATCAGTCAAGACTTCCTTGAAAAGACCTAGACTCAGTCTACTCTCGCCGGCGCCTGAAAGAAATACTTGTATGGCATGCTGTGTTGTGTAGACTGATGATGTGCTGTCACTCTTTGACATCTCTGCAGTGTATGCAGATGCCGCTGACCAATGTAAAGCCTTGTTCAGTGAGGCACTGTTATTCTATGCCAACAGAGATACTCATGTTCACTTCCTCCTCTGTCTCCCTGTACTCAACAAAGCCACACAGTTCTTGCTCCATGTTTTGTACCGCCGGTGCGTGTGTGTGGTCATGATGTGCCTGGCCTGATAGGGTTTACATCATGTGATGTTTCATCTGCTCAAATGAATGAATTGGTGGGAGAGAGAGAGAGAGAGAGAGGTTTCAGATTGGCATCAGACTGGCCTCCTATGTCCATAATTTGCTTAACTGCTCTTGGTCGGATGTTTGCAGTCGGTCGGAAGTTCTCATGCTGATGCCGCGACTCTTTGCGTCTTTTCTTTGTCCTTCTTGCTGAAATGGCAGCATAATTCAACGTCGAAGAATTGTGCAGTCTGTGAGAAGCCTACTGGGGGAGTGTTTAACACCGTGCGTGAGATTGTTCGTAAGATGCAAGAAGAGAAGGAAAAGGTCAGTGGCACTTTAGATGGTGGAAAACGCAGCAGAGGGAGCTGGCGATCGTGATGATCACCGATTAAGGAGGACCACATTGAATTTCATGAATAGTGTGCTTGTATATAGGATGTGAGGAACACCCTCCTGTATGCGTTTTCCATTTTTGGTTTCCCGCTTCTCTTCTCTCCCTGCAGTGCGAGGTAACTTCAGACAGGGAGGGGGGGGGGGCAAAACAGGCAGGAGGATGATTTGAGGAAAAGTGCTGGAGGGTCTTTGGCATTGCAGTTACTCTGGCAAAATTTTCTAATGTGCTACGGTCCTAGTACGTTTGAACATTGAAAAGAGAATGATCCTTTCAGAAGTTTGGTGGAGCATCACATTGAAAGAACAACAAAAAAGGACTCACTTCCTCTCCTCCTCCTCCTCCTCACTCCGTCCTCTCCTCTTTCGACCTCCACCCATGACACCAAAGCTTACGGGATCTGAGCTCCGGGCTGCACTCCGTGGACCACCCAGTACGTTTCATTTTGTTCCCACATGACAGTGAACACTCTGCCGGCTTTGGGACTCGGCCTACCGAATGCAAAAGGCTGGCAGCACCAGGCAAATTGGCATTAAGCCCGCGGGTGGAACGGTGGTTTAAACGGTGGTTTAAGCCCTTGGTTGGACACATAAGCGAATGCAAAAGGCTGGCAGCACCTGGCAAATTGGGATTAAGCCCGCAGGTGGAACGGTGGNCAAATTGGCATTAAGCCCGCGGGTGGAACGGTGGTTTAAGCCCTTGGTTGGACACATAAGCGAATGCAAAAGGCTGGCAGCACCTGGCAAATTGGGATTAAGCCCGCGGGTGGAACAGTGGTTTAAGCCCTTGGTTGGACAGGTACGTGTTTTCCTCGACTGGAACCGTGAGGCGCTTGATGACATTGGATTTGGTTACATCGTATTTGTTTTCTTCAAAACGGGTCTCGTCAATTTGGTTGCTGTCGTGGTATTCCGGACATGGTTGAGGATTTTCGGGCCTGCAATGTGTTTCACCCCCTTGGTGTTTTTTCGAGACTTGGTTGTATAGCGTGTCAGAGTCGAATGAGACAGGCGTTTCTAGTACAGGAGCCGTGCAAAACACAGCCGTTGTGTTTTCATTTCTTTGTGTTCTTTGTCCTCAGGACAGGGTATTCACAAAAGGAATTGCACGTAATTTCTTTTTCCACATAACACACGCATCCACTCTGTGGGAGCGGCATGTAAAACAAACCCCATGCAATCTGTTTTTTTTTTTTTTTTTCCGCACAAAGCACGCAGGCACACACGCCTGCTCATACACAATTTTTATCTGGTTTGTCGCCTGGTTTGTCGCACTTTGGGTCTTCAGATCTTGACATACCAACAGGCAGATGAGTGAGGTAGACTGGGTCCATGGTTGAATCGAAGGAGCTTCCTCTTATCAGCTTGTCCTCCGTTCAGCTTGAAACATATTCGCCGTTTAGCTCTACCTAAGGCTCCGCCGGTGGTTGTCGAGTTACCAAACAAAGCCCGACATTGGAAATGAAGGGAGGTGGAGAGGCAGAGGATGACGGACACACCGTTGCCGAAGGTGAGGGATCATCCAATGATGAACAGGAATCATTATTGAACTTACAGACTGGGAGAGGCGGTGCACTCTCGTCATCACTGTTATCGTTATCGTTATCGCCACAGCCGTCGGTGCCGTTATCGTCCCCTATATCCTCGTTCTCATCACCATCGACATTGCCATTGCCCACAGCCGTTTCAGACGACCATTGCAGCAGCCATAGGCTGTCTGACATGTCATCCTCGGTGGGCATGTCAGAGATGATCTTTCTAGGAACTGGCTGCTCGACTGGTATCCCAACGCTGTCTTGCGTTTTAGAGAAGATGGGCGAGGGGTGTGACACATGTCGCCTTGCACTCTCATTGCCCCCAGAAGCGAACAAGAACTACCGTTGCACTCCATCTGCAGTGATCCGGTTCGCGCATGAAGATGGACGGTCCAGATTCATTCTCATCGACGCAGGTAAAACGTTTCGAGAGCAGGTCATCCGATGGTTCCCCAGGTGCGATGTGGCGAGGGTGGATGCAATTCTTTTGACGCATCATCATGCAGATGCGGTCCTTGGGCTTGATGACGTGAGAGACGTACAGTCCCACGATCCAGTCAGCGGCAGAATCATGCCGCTTCCGGTGTATTTGTCTGCCACGTGTATGTCCTACGTCGCCAAGCAGTTTCCTTACCTTGCGATGCAACCTGATCCGGTCACAGGAAACACACCACGACGAGTGTCGTCACTGGACTGGAGAATCGTCGAGGAGTCGCCACACGTTGCCTACGACATTGAGGGATTAATGATCCGTATGTTGCCAGTGATGCACGGAGAAGACACGGTGGCACTTGGCTTCTTGATTGACAATGGACGACAGAGAATAGCCTACATATCGGATGTGTCACGATTGCTATCAGAAACGGAATGGCAGCTAACTGCTGCAACAACAGCCGTGGGCAAAAAGGAAGAAGTGGAGAGAGAGGTGCATCCTCGCAAAGAGATCGATTTGCTCATGCTGGACTGCCTTCTACCGTGGGGCAGGCACCCAACACACATGTGTCTGCCACAGTGCTTGGTTGTCATCCGCAAACTTCGTCCTGCCCGAACTTTACTAATTGGGATGGGTCATGAGATTGAGCATGAGTCGCTCAATAAGAAGCTTCTGCGTTTGGCTGATAGTGAAGGGATCCACGTGGCACTTGCGTATGATGGCTTACGTGTTCCAATCATCCTATGAGGAGTTCCCCATTAGAGGACAGAAAGACCAAACCACTCATAAACCAGCTGAAGTCGATGAGTGAATGGCTCAATCAGAAGCTTACACAGTGAGAGAGAGAGAGAGAGAGAGAGAGAGAGAGAGAGAGTAAATAAGTTTTATGGTGGACCTGTACAGGCTGTAGCGGGCCTGAGCCCGAAGCAGACTTTTTCATCTGTTTTTCATTATCATTATTGTGATGTCTTGAGTTTCATCCTCTTCTTCGCAGGTCCTTTTTTTTCAAAAAAAAAGGAAAATCCCGTCTGTACCGCACTTAAAGATGGGAATATCCGTTATACCCAGTCCCAGTGCCAATTTGCATCTATACCCGGAACCCGTGAACTTTGCATAGTACCCAACTTTCCCCTGTGCAAAATTGTAGGCATACCCAGTCCCGCAGGCCCTCGGTTTCGGACCATTTAATTATGCTCATGCCCAGAAACCAGGCTGGCAAACTTGTGGGCATACCACACCCGGTGGCGGGCCTAGGATGACCATGAAATTATGCTCATGCCCACCAAGTGGACCGTTGTAGCCCGACGGCTGCTGGGTACGAGTATAATTTCAGCCATCCGGTAGTAGGGTATATGAGTAATTTGGCTGGTCCTCCTCTGTCCCGGATACGCCCATGAGCATAATTTCAGCCATCCGGTAGTAGGGTATATGAATAATTTGGCTGGTCCACCTCTGTCCAGGGTACGCGCACAATTTTGCCTGGGTATGTCCATACTCTGTGCATTCTGCTAGTTGGGTATAACCGCAATTTTTCAGTACCAACCTCAGTCCACCTCAGTGCTGGGCATGCAAATAATTTCCACCGGCCGTTTTCCGGGTATAGATTCAAGTTGGTGCTGGGACTGGGTATAGCAGGTATTCCCATCTTTAAGTGGGTTACAGATGCAATTCCCCCCCCCCCCCCCYCCYCCAAAAAAAAAAAAAACCCAAGTTTATTTCAAGTGCTGGAAACCAGGTTTGGTGATCTATTGATTTTGAACCTGAAGTAACCAAAACTATGGTGAACCTGAAGTAACCAAAACTATGGTGGACCTCCGAAGAACCACCTTCGCCCTCACCTCCCCTGCGCCCTCAGGCAGCCCGGCTATGGCCGCCAGCGCCCTGCGCACACRGGCAGCGCCCTACCGCTTTAGCGCTAGCCTGCTCCCTCAGCCTTAGCGCAGCACAGCAGCTCGCGTTCGCGCAGCATGCCGGCATTGCACGCACTGGCCAAGATCCCCGCCCACTCGCCCTGCTTGCCTATACGCCAGTGTTGCGTGTGGGCGACCTCCCTCCAGCCTGCGTCTGGGCCCCAGTGGCTGAACCCAGGCCCGATACAGTTGAGGCCCGGGGCATGCAGTTGCGCCTCTTTCATCAAGGCCTGTGGCCAGATTCAGATAGTGGGCCGATTTCCCTTTGGCATTTTCGGCCTCTCTACCCAGCAAGGGCCAGCATGCATTGTCGGCCTCACGTTCAAGTGCCCAAGGCCTAACTAACTCAGAGGCCCTGGGATTTCCACATTTGCAGAGATCCGAGACTCGGTGCACTCCAACCAACTGGCGTGCTGCAACTGTATGGACCCCACTTCGTGAAATGTTCGCACAGAGGGCTCTTGTTGATTTGCTGGCCCGCCTTCACTTAGGGCGGGCAYGAGGCTTGCTGGGGCCTTAGCCCAGAACATGTACATCATGGCAATGCCCCTTCTTGAGGGCTCAATCCTCACAGTAATCGGAACAAGTAAATAATCCTGAGAACAAAAAGTAATTAGACCACCTAAAGCAGGTTTGAACTTTAAATAATTTGAATCAGAACAACAGCTCTACATCCAATGATTCCATCCAGCGCATAGTAGCATACTTTCTCAGTCTGGTGGTGTACTTCCATCGTTCAATACCCAGCTTCACCAGACTATGCAGTAAAAAAACAAAAACGGGACAAAAAAAGAAAAACAAAGCAGTCGTCTGACTTGTTTCCTCTTTCCACTGCGACGTCGTTTTTTTCTAAGGGGCTGATCCCACAACTCAAAACTTTGGGACTTACCATAAAAAAGATGGCTGATGTTTCTTTCTGTTTTTTTTTTTTCTTCTAAAAACAGCCCGAATGGATGCTAGGGGTGCTGGTAAGAGCAGACACCACTAGCATTACCGGGAAGGCTCCATCTATTGGTGGGGAGCAGCACCTGCTGGAAAGCGGGTCCAGCGTCCCTGAACATTGTATCAGTTTACTTGAACAGACATGTAGTTGTGATGGCAGATATCTGCAGTGCTCAACTACCAAGTACTGGAGTTAGGGAGGTGGAGCTTATGTTGTTGCGTGATTGATTTGCCTACCTAACAGTCTATATTGAGTCTAAATTTAGCGGTAGCATACATAAATCACATATGTACTCCTGAGGGATTTGGAGACAGATCTCCCCACTCTCCTGAACAAGAGTCCTTTCCTGTTCCTACGTTGGAGTCTTGTGTATTGGAGCATTTGTAGTGTTGGACCCACTTGGGCCATTACATTTTGTGGCTGCTACAACCATTTGCTGCCCCTGCCGGAACCTTTGTCCTTTCTGTCTTGAAGCCAGGGTTCCATTCGTCCCTGGTCACCTTCTTGGAGTCTTGTGTTTGGAGCATTTGTAGTATGGGACCCACTTGGGCCCTGACATATTGTGGCTGCTAGAAACATTTGCTGCCCCTGCCCCTGCCCCAACCGTCATCTTTTGTCTGTCTCGAAGCCAGGGTTCCTTCGTCCTTGGTCACCTTCTTGCCAGTATCAATCATGCTTACTCGTTCTGGCCCCCTCTCCCATGGGGAGATTCCCATTTTTTCTTTTGACCTGAGTCACAGTCACTGATGATGTCCGGGGGCGGCTGTGGTAATGGAGACCCGGGCGGGGGTTGAGGAGGAGAGGGGATTGACGGGCGAGGGTGT